TAACCTTTAAGTAGCGGACCAGATGTGTGTAAATTTTGAAATTCTGAACTTAAGTCGGTTATGTTGATTGAATCTTTATTCATGGCTACAATATGATTAAACAGTTCATGAGTTCGTCTTGCTATTTGCTGTAATGGAGCGGAAGATTTTCTAATCAATTTTTTAATAGAAGATATATAGCTTTCAAATTTAAATGCACTGTAATTATCTAACGGCCCAAACATTTTTACATCTTCGCAAATATGCAGTAGGCCGTTAACATTATGAGCAATATACGTTTTTCATAATAAAGCCAAAATTTACTACGAAGAGTTTTAATAGAGACTGTGCGTATTCATCAATTGCCGTCTGATTCTGTATTTTACATAAGAGTCTAATCGAAATATGAAGTAGTAAAAAATGATCATTGTAGCTTTTTGTTAAATTTAAAAAAATAAATAAATAAATAAGTGGGCTAGTGTACAGTAAAAATTGACGGTATTCTGTAGCTTTCCAGTGTTTCCAATTCTTTTAGAGTTAGTTCCTTGGTTTTCTTGCAAATTCAATTGGTACATAAGGCTTAAAAAACTGGTCATTAAAAAAAAAAAAAAAAAAAAAAAAAAAAAAATTAGTTCAACATTTTTATGTGGTAATCGTGCTTGTAAGGTGCCTCCACCTATCCTAATAGTAATCATTTTTTTGTACTACTCCTAAGCACAGAAGGGACATAAAGTCTAACGGACTATTTATTAGTCCCTATATTTGGAATATTCCTTAAAATGGGATAATCGTTTTGGTAATCGTCATCAGTCAGTTCTTCTTGAGACATAAAAGTTCATATTTCGAATCACAGTTTGAAATGGAACTTAAAGAATATTTGCTAGCGCGAAAATTCGACATAGTCCTTTTCATAATTAAATACTACTTCATCTTCTGACGAATCCGATAATATACGTTGATTTATTCTGCTGTAAATCCGTCTTTTAGATATCTGAGATAATTTTTTTAGTTCTGATCATTTTTGTAGAATAAAGGAAACATTTAGAAACTTACTTTTCACACTCTGTCAATGTAACGCTTGCAAGCGTCAGCAAGTCAGTTCGTAACTGAAAGAGAATTTGGAACGACGGCTATTAACGTTTAGCAGAATAGCTGAATTCTGGAAATCAGAAAGTAAGTACGTGTACTTTTCACTTTGTGGGGTTCTTCAAGGATATCACTATTACGGAACAATTAAAACCGTTGGGGGCGTTTTGCGACTTTGTTGTGAAGGGGGAAGGGATGTGAAGGGATGTTTCCCTCTTAGGGGGATACAAAAGAAGGGAAGGTCTGACAACATAAATCTGCCACGTTAACAAAAGAGAAATCTTCTTGGGGCATCGGCTAAGAAAAAAAGTGCTCAGAGGTGTTACATTCTGAGCGGAGCTCGGTTTCTCAAAAGCAAAGAAAATTTGAGAAGCAGTTTACGACCAATGATAATGATGATCAAAACTTTAAGATTTTCAACTTCAATTGTTATTTATAGTATAAAATAAAGTAATAAAACTGATGAGTTTAAAGAAACGCGTTTAATTTAAAAATTAAATCATTTTAATTAAAGTTTGAACATCTATTTAATCCGTTACCTAATTTTGAGTTTTCATAACAACATTTAACTTTGTGTTATATACCTTGAAGAAACGTGTTTACTGCATTTTCTGGATGTTACAAATAAATTAATAAAGCAGCAATTATTAATTATGAGGAGTCATGTAGCATTGTCGGCATAACGTATAAGACTGCAGAGCGCTGGATATATTTTTTTCGCGCTTTGTTTAGCAGAGACCGAATATTTGTATGGTTAAAGAGGTAGCAAAGTGAGGTTTGAGGAGAGTAAGAACTTAATGTTAGTTCTTCCCATTCTCAAACCTTATTTTCCTATTACAGAGAGGTAAAAAATAAGTTACTTCTTACCTCAGTCGTTTTGAAAAACTAATTCTCATTATTATAGAACTTACCAGAAAATGAACGAAGAAACTGCAATGAATTTTTTAGCCCAATAAAATTATTCTTTGTTTATAAATTCAAATTAAAGCAAGTTAAACCTCGTACAGACTAGTTTTTAATGCGTCTATAAACTAAAATTTCGTTTGTTTAAAAAAAAATATTGTTTACTTATTACTGCACAGCACTAAACATCATTCATTACTAATATAATAGTGTAACAGATCAAAAAGTATTTTTTTTTCTTTTGCAGTTTCAAAGTATAGTTTATTTCTATGCTAAGAACTATCGATGAATTTAATAGAATACTTTTATAACTTGATATTTCTGATTAGTGCCTCAGAGAGGGTAAGTGATTATATTGACCGATTTGCCGTGCAGAAGGGCTCAAGTTCGAATGCCATATAAGGCATGGATGCAACATCATGCCCATCTGTTCATAGGATAAATGTCTTTGTGAAAGATTTTCTGAGCGAACCTGTAATGTACAATAATATTTGTGTTCAAAGATATTAGCAAAAGTATCTAAAATAAATAATGTTTACAAAATATATTATGTAGCAATTAGAATTAATCGTAAACACATTTTCAATATGAAACTCAAAAACGGATGAAAACACGTGCCTATAACTTGTAAGAAAGTTCTCTGATCAACTGTGAAAATGAAACAACAAAAATTTGAAAATATTATTACTTAATATTTACAGCCAACAACAATACAAGACGAAATCCAGTGTAAGAATAACAATTAAATTTTCATATGCAGAGTAGGTAATCCATAGAGTAAGATTTCGATTCTTATAACATGACTTGCGTGTGATACAAGGTTACTTTAATATTTTCAGATATGAGCTTCCATAAAAAGTAAGTACTGAAGATATCTGAGAAACAACATTCTCAGGAAATCTTCATATATCCCGGGACATTACGACTTGAACAGGACATCCTTAAGATGTTGATTTACGATGTCCTCAGGATATCTGAAAATCAACATCCTGAGGAGATCTTCATATATCCCGGGACATTGAGACTTGAATAGGATATCCTCAGGATGTTGACTTAAGAAGTCCTCAGGATATCTGAGAATCAACATCCTCAGGATATCCTAACTGCTTCCCGGGAGATTGCGACTTAAATAGGATATCCTGAGGATGTCTTGTGTTATGGGGGAATTTATATAAAAATTGCTAAACATAACTGAATGGATGCCTGCATCGCTATTTCGCTACCCACTTATCGCTAAAGCATAATTTCATCTCGTTGGGTGTTCAAACGTAATTTTCTATAATGAATGATGCCTTTTCTTTGAAAATATTCTCGGTAAACTGCAGAATCGCCCACTTATTTGTTTGCTACTTTTTACAAGGGTAGAAACAATTGGAGTTTTGTCAATTTTCTTTTACTTTTTAAGTGAAAATAGGTTGATGTGTACATAGATAAAGTCAAGGGTGTGCGCAGTGCCATTTTTGTACAATTCTAGGATTTTTTTAAAAGGAAAATAGGTCGGTGTGCACATGGATACCGAATATGTGCAATTCTCAAAAACGCGTCAAGCAGTGGGTAATTCTGCAGTTTACCCAAAATTCTACTGCCGAGTTTCCGTCATGCGCAATTCCCAAATTGTTAAACCCATAGGATATCAAAAAAGAATTTAAAAATTAAACTAGTATTTCAATGGCGTCTTAAGAAATAACTATATAAACTTACGCAATCTAAACTTATGCAATCTGAAATTAGCGCGTACGCTAGATTTTGCGCGCTGTTAAATGGCGCGTTTGCTAGATTTGGCGGTTTTGCGCTGCAATTTTTTTACGGCCATCGAAACTGAATAGTACCAAATTTTCTAACATTTGGGATCGATTTTCTAAATATTCCATGAACCTTCCGAATTTGGGCAATTCAGTCGATGTTAAACTCATTTCATATTGTTTTCTTGTTTCTTTATCTAAGTTTTGAATGACAATATTTATAAGGAATTGATGTGTTAGTTCATTAGCTTCTAATTTCATTAAGTTTAAATCTCTTAGGTTTTTGTTCAAAACATCAATTAGATTTCTAAGACTTATAAGATTCAACATATTTTCTCAAAATTTAAAATATTCATAATATGAGAATTAACAATCAACCGTTTATTTTCATATCTATCAATTAAAACCTCGGTTAAAATTCCGTAATCGAAGTGAGCGCCAAGCTTGGCGAGTTTTTTATTTGGCGCGATTTTAATTTAATTGTGGTTTTCAGCTGCTTATTTTTCTCGTGGCAAACCTAGAGCTTTATTTCGGTAACTGTAAGAGCGCGAATTTAGTGTAGCCAGATTTTTTTTAAATTTAATTTTGAAATACTGTGTTTGTTTTTAAAAGTTTTACTGTTTAATATTATTGTTATATATATGTTTAATATTGTATTTATATAAATATTTGCAGAAGGTTAAGCTGTTGTTGGTGGGAGAATGTTGGATTTCATATGACATGAAGTTTACAATTTATGAATGTTTTCGTTTAATTTTTTTATTTTATTTTATTTTATTTTATTTTTTAAGTTTTGTTTCTTGCATGTGGCAGTCGAAAGATGTGGAATATTTAAAGCTTTGAACGAAAGTTGCTTAGTGTATTGAATTCCACGACGATAGTAACTTGAATATTTTAGTTAGTTTATGATCCTGAATACGCATAATTTGCTATTCTGTTTACATTTAAAACTGACTTCGCAGTGCTCTGATCTGATTAGTGTATACATTTATTTATTCAATAATTATTTACAAGAATTGTTCATTCTACTATTTTATGATGAATTATATATTATATATAGGACTATGCTTTTACTTGCAAAGCTGTTGAACTTTGTTTTACTCATCTAGTATTTTATCATCTCATTTTACTATTCTGTTTACATAAAATAACGGCGTTTTACTACTGCAGAACTCAAAAGTTACTATTCTGTTTACGTTTAAAAATCACATTTTAGTGCTTTCATTTAGTGCGCCTAAAAAATTCGCCAAATTTTGAAGGCCAAAACAGTTTGCTGTCAACTTACCCCGCTTATGGAATTTTAGCCAAAACCTCAAATAAAGACTGAAAACTGTCTTGAATTTCTACAGCTTTCGCGTCTCTTTTTAATGCAGAACGCAAATAGAACAATTTTTTAATATCATTTAAAGAAGAGTTATTTGTAATCAAACTATCAAATTGGTTTTTAAAATCACTCCAGTTCTCAATACAACCATCAAATTCTGGTAAGCTTAAATCAGGTAACTTAATAGAGATAGAATTAGGATTCTTAATATCATTCGTTAAAGATTTATCAACTAAATCTGAATTTAATAATAATGTTTGTAAGCTTACCTTTATTTCTTCTAAACGGTCTTCCATTTCTTCAAATTCTAAATCCACACTCGATAAATTTTCATCATCAATGACATCATAATATTCCAGTTGCAACGATTCGATCTGAGATAACATGTCCGAAACCATATCCAATTTGATTTGAAGGAGCATCTTGTCAGCATTCAAATTTGAATCTTTCAAAAAATTTTCCAATTTCGTGATCCTAGTTTTAAAGTTTCCACGACGTCGATTCAGCAACTTTAGTTTTTCATCTAGTAACAATACTGTAGAATTAATTATCTCTACTGTTCAGTTCATCATCTGCGTTAGCCATTTTCGTTCGTTTTTAATACACGATCAAACTAAAGTTTTTATTGCTTTTAACGTTTGAAGCAACAATTTATTTAGCCAATTCCACTCCAGCGTTTAAGGACCACTGTTATGGACTGTAGCTACGAAATAACGAAACTAATTTTCTTTTAAATCCATCTTTTATTCTATTCGAAAATTAACCGCTCAATTAGCAGCCATTCAAAAATCCAAGCAACAAATTTCTCATCGAACAAGCTAATCAAAGAATTACAAAAACAAACGATATTGACGCATGCGCATTACAAGATTCGTTGCTAGACAACTAATTTAGATACGAAAGGTTTCGCATAGCACAGACGATCAGGTGCCAACACGCATTTTTTCTTGCATTTCATTTAAACTGAATTGGATTGAACTAAATCTACTTCGCCGACAGCGCATAAACCACAATAGAATAAATGCATTCTTTAAAATTCACTCTAGTATTTGTTTACCATAGCGACACTCTGGCGCTAGATTCACTTAACAGTATTAATAATTATATAACAGTTAACTTATATAATAATTATATAACGGAAACTAAGTTAACTGTTATATAATCCAATAATTATATAACAGTTAATTTATATATTTCGTTAGTATTATAACTCATAATGCACAAAATTTATATCATTTAAAGAATAGAATTATCTAATCGTTGCCACATTTTCTATTCAAATACTATAATAAAGCTAGAATGATGTATAAAAGAAATTAAGCAAACAAAACAAAAAAGAAACAGTTTTTCACAGACGATTGAGTATTTCTCATTTAATTAATTCAATTCTCACTTCGCGAGAAGACAAAAATACATAAAAACTCAAAATATCTATATTAAAAATTACGAAGTAAATCTCAAACACTTATTTCCTCGAAAACATTCCAGAAAGAATTAAGCATGATTTAATTGGCAATAATAAATGAATGCGTTATCTTTGTTGTTGCGAAGCTAAGTTTCTCTAGATTGGCAACAAATCCACTAGTCTCCTGTTTCAAATGTAAACATCAATGGCCGCCATTAAAAAAAGGCTTAGCGGCACTTAGACAACTTTAAAATTGATAATTCTAAAAATATTGCATACAGATTTACTAAAGGCATAAAAGCCTTACCGGAAGATAAAAACAACATAATACATTCATTTTTAAAGCAAAAAATGTACAATTTACAAACATATAAGAGTAAAGAAACTGAGATAACTGAGCCGGGTAACAGAGTGGATATATATATAAATATATTTATATACGTTTGGTGCGGCCGATTGCAACCAAAATACGAGGTGCACATCTACATGTTATTCCAGTCCTATATACAAAATTTGAACTTTCTGAGGCTACTCGTTTTTGAGTTATGCGAGATACGTACGTACATACGTTCGTACAGACGCCACGAAAAATTCTCTTCGGAATTAATTTTAAAGCAGTTTTATAATTTTTTTGAAGGAAAAGAGTATTTTATTCTGTCCTTAAGTACAGATATCACGCAAAAACATCGTTAAATTTCATTTGATAGCGGTCAAAATAGATATTTTCCATTTTGAATATGCTGCCTGAAACGTTGAAATATGCTGCCTGAAACTTTTCGCGATTACCCCCTTTAAAATTGTCCCAGCCCCCCCTTTTTTTTTCTTTAAAAGTTATTGAATAATGTTGTTTTTTATTTTTCGATTAAGGTTTTTAGGTCTTAGTTAATCTGCATGCAATAGTTGCTGAATTATTAGAACAGAATCATAGAATTACAGAATTCGATGTATTAATAGAGTAGAATTATAGAACTAGGCGTTGTTTACATTTGAAAGTCTTAGTAAAATAGGAAATACAATTGGTGCACCATCTTCAGTGTTCTTTTGCCCAGTGGGAAGGTAAGCTAACTTTGAATTTCATGCACCAAAAAGTTTGGTCTACCTGTCCATTGGCCGAATCGCTTGTTTTGGCGTAGAAACTCTTAATTTTAATTGTAAAAATTGTTTTTAACTGTATTTGGTTTCTAAGGTTTTCTGTATTTTGCGATTTTTAATGAATTTAAGTTTTTATGTAGTTTTGCCTTGCCGCTAATGAGAAATGAATTCATTGAATGAGAAATATACCTTTAATGAAATTCAAGAAGATAAGTTAAGTTGAAGTGCAGAAAAAATTATATAATTTAACAGGTCGTACAAAAAAGTTTTGTGGTGTCTACGTCAGATAGTTTCCTTTTTAGCTTTATTATTAAGCACCGTTTCTTTCGCATTTACGCCAATTACAATTCAACAGCAAAATCGAATTTTTTTCTAAAAGCAGTATATCAGCATATGTTTAGAACTTCCGATGCAGTGTTAATTGTTGGCATAATATGTTTTACATATTTAAAACCAGTATTACCACCGCTCACTTTCAAATCCTTGAGTTTATTAATCAAAAATTTGTTAAGTATTTATAAGATATATGAAAAAAATTGTAAAAAATATACAACGTCATTCCGTCAAAATACTGAATATTTTTAATAAGCTAGATCGTGAATCAAAGGCATTTTTATTACTTAAATCAATCTGATTTAAAAGTAAGGAACGAATATTCTTAAGAACTGCATCTTGTTTTCAAAGAGCTTACTTTGTATATTCCCAACTGAGAGATTCAGTTTGAAAGATAAATAACTTATATTTTGCCGAATGGCAACAGACTGGAATGAAAAATTAAGAAACGCATTTGTAGTGATTCGACGCAAAATTCCATTTCGAGGCTATTAGCCATTTGGGCTAATAGTATTAAATATGTAGTAATATATAAAGTGTTAGAGTATTTTATTATTATTATTATTTATTTATTTATTATTTACAAGACAGTCCTATTCCTAAAAGTGAAAATGTTTTTCATAAAAATCTGTACCTTATTTTAACAGACACTGTAATTAGAATATATATCTAAGATCAATTAGTCAATTAATCAAGACTTGCATATCTTTTGAGAGTAAGCTGCGCGATGTAAAACCTTTATCTGACAGAAAATTTTATTCCTCAAATTCCCAATAACGACGTTTGATACACGGTGGACTCAATGTAATTTTAGTCACAACTTGCAATAATAATAGCAGTTTCCTTCTCTTTTTAACTTTCCATTTCTTAGTTAATGTCATTAGAATATTATGGATCTGGTACAGAGTTCTCAAAATGAAGCAAGTTAAAACACAGCGCTTTTCAGTGCTTGATCATAAATTATGAGACGACAGCTCTCAGTGCGAAAAGAGATGACCGCAGATAAAATATCACCGTTATGTAACATTTGAGCATAAATCAAAATATCTTGGCATGCGAGCGGAAAATTATTTTATAATCAGTATAAACAATGACACAGTTAAAAAATGCATGTGAGACAAAAGGCTGAATAAAAAATGCTTCGTAATTATAACAGGAAGGAAGTTCGGATGGTTAGGAAGTAAACATTTACCTTCCGCTGAACTAGCAAAGTCTGAAGTAATGAAGCAAAAGAACAGTAATATTTTTATATTTTTCAAATAAATTTATGAAATGTAGTCTTTGCTTGCATCCGTAAATGCATTAACTTAGGTAAATAATTTACTAAAAGTAACCCCATGTTAAATCCAAGTGTATTTTTAAGGAGTCAATTTTCCTTAAAATCTTCTCCATAAAGGCATCCTACCCCTTAGGCGGATGGCTCTCGCATGCTTTGCCATAATCCAAAGAATACTTCCATTATTAAGAACAAAATACTCACAAACTACTAACCTTAACAGGGATATCATCCCCGAAGACATTTTGTTTTTGAAGATGTTCTAACATGCCAGTCGGAAATGACTCTTATATTCTCTCAAATCCTCATAAAATTTTATAAAATTTCTTTTCTTTAGGCAGTAAATGTGTAGATTCATTTGGCTTTGTAGAGTCATTAGGTTAATTGGAAGCAGAAAAGATGAAAAATATGCAACCGCCTTCGCTGGGAATCGAACCACGGACCTCTGGAATAGCGTGCTACCGTTACACCACGAAGGCACGCTAGGGAAGTGGGAGAAATATCTTATATACTCCCCTTTATAAAGGGCAACAAGGGTTTTAGGGGACCTAGTCGCCAAATCCTGGGTGCGGAGAATCATCATCCACAACCCTTTTAGTTCGGGCGCCACTTGTAGAGTCATTAGGTTAATTGGAAGCAGAAAAGATGAAAAATATGCAACCGCCTTCGGTGGGAATGGAACCACGGACTTCTCAAGTCCTGTAATTGTTGTGTCGAGAATACCAACTAACTTGTCAATCGAAATTTTTTCGTTTTCAATAACGTTCTCTGTTACTTTCTTCACTATCGGAAGCGCGCATGGGTAATCGCTTTACTGGCTTTATGCGCATGCGTAGCGGACGCGCGCATCAAACACGCATGCGTAGGTTTGTGACTTTGAGGTCCGGATTATAGATCATTCCTGATAATGGACATCAGCATTATGGACTTTGTACTGTAATGCTTTTTTCCTTTTATGAAAACATTTGCTATCTTTATCTACAATTTGGTGTTAATCAAATCTTTATTTCTCCATTTTTGTTGATTTTACAATCACGGGCGTTGTTGTTACTTTTGCTGACTTGTCTGACAGCAACATCAGCCCATGCCCACGAAATTCTTCGTGGCAAGGAGCATAAGATATGCCTGTCGTTGGCAACAGCCTTGAACACCTTACAGGTGACAGTGCGATTTAGCTGAGTTCCGCCCCCAATTTTTATGGAGAGCGCCCCAGGGGCCGGGTCCAAGGATTTCCCATCCCTCTACCCTTCGACCAAACCGCACGAGAGGACTTTCGGCTCGCCGCAAGTGCCGCCGTGACGCACCGGCACTGTACATTTCCAAACATCCATGCCTTCTCCGAGATTCTGCACGACAGTCAACGAAGCTAACCGCTATACCGGCACAATCGCGGGCATAACTTCTGGAATTCTTCAATAGATATCTTCATTTCTTAAAGCACGTTGAATCAGGGTGTCCCTACAAAAACTTACATGCCCAATATGCTTTACTTTCGGAAAACTGAAAATATAACAGGTAAATATTCCAATTTAAGAATGAAAAATAATGTCTGGCTTATGTCTTCCAAGACTTATTCTGCAGCACCGCCATCTCTTGATGAAATTCGTAATTACTTTTCCATATATCTGCCTATCGAGATGGCTAATGATATATGCAGCTTCAAGTTGTTTTG